ATAAAGGGCTCCTGAAAATGCACGATTTTTGAGCAGGGAGTTCTTCAAGCAGTGGCCAAAAACTTTTTAGCGAGAAGTCCTTTTTAATCTGTAATTTTTCATCTATTGACTATTTTTTTTTGTAACATCTCAAACCTTTAACTTTTATATCTATACGCCTATTTATTCAAATTTATTTTAACACCTACCCACAACTTGAAATGCATAATAAGACTGAATTTTGGGTAAACATTAAAAAATAATAGATCTTATTGATTCTAGGCAAAAAATACTGGTTTGATACTGATGATGATCATCAGTGTCAAATGTCGAAAAGGCTTATTCCAAACTTTGTGCTACTGATTGGCTTGTTTAAAATGAATATTTTATGGAAGTAACATATAACTCTCAGTGACATCAAAACGAACAAGACACCGTCACACTGTTGACAGGCAAGTGTAACAATTTATTCGAACGTTTTCCAATGGAGTTTTCTAAGTTGTGGCTGCAATGCTACGGGTTGCATTAGAGAAGCTTGTAGAGATTATGCGTTACTGGTGTTTGGTGTTCTACAAACTTCCCGTTTGTATCTGTTTATAACTCTTGTTGTCCTTTGAAGCGAGAAATTTGGGGTTGAAACGGTTTGAGACATAGTTTAGGTGCTCCACTATTAAATGCAAAGGACTGTATGCATAATAATATGTTTAGAGAGAGTGAGATTTCTTCAGTAATTTAAAGTGGTACAGTTCATAACCTGTCCTGCAACACAGCTAGTCTCAAGAGAACAGATAACTGACCGAACAGCAAGAAACTCACAACAACTAAACATTCCTTTATCTAAAACCGCTGCTGGTCGGAGATCATTTCATTATAGGGCAGTAAGCTTTTGGAATTCATTAGACAAAGATTTAAACTGTGTAAATGTTCTGCAAACTTAATGAAAATTTCAAGGACAAAGATGTTTTAACGATTTTTTTTTAAAATAAGACTAGTTATAACACACAGTTTTAGCTTTCGTTTTAGTTTTATAGTTTTAGTTTTAGGAGTCTGCAATGAATTTTAACCTATACCTCATATGCAAATCTCTTCGCTCTCCGAGTAAACGAACTATTGTCGCCTCTATTAAGCCATTGTTTTAGAGGTCAAATATTTGTTTTGGAACTGTTCAGTTGTAAACGAGGTTATTTAATGAAGTCAGGTTGCGTGAATCTTTATTTTATTTACAAAGCAACCGTTATTGACAAGGAGAAGGAAAATTGAAAATAGCAAATGTTATGCCATAAACTACAGATATTGCACGACATTTAGAGCTTTACTACAGCCTTGGATTTTTCGGCTTAGACCGAAACATTGCGTGTTTGCTGCGTGGGAAGTGTGCACCTAGTTACGCTCGAACTACTTCAAACTTAATTGGTGCCCCACTGAGTTATTTCGATGAGATGTCAGCTGTCCATATAGTCAATTTGTTAACTCTTCTTTTCTGAGTTAGTATTGCTTTCGAAAAGGTGCAAGTAACGAGACCGTATAATGTTTGTTGAGGGAGACTAAGTGTTCCTGACTCCTCTCTAAGATCGTCAAATTTCCTCCGGTATTCCTCTGTAGGTTCCTGAAAGGAAGTGGAAGTTTTTGTCTTAAATAATTTGAATTGAAAATTCCCAGCCGGTGGTGGAACGAGAGGTGTTTGGTTAGCTGCTTGAAGTGGCTGAACGAATTAGTTATGTATCTGAAAGTGATATCCGTTGAACTAAATGGTCCTAAAGTGAAACTTACTTTAAATTGTTAGTAAAACTCGGTGACCACGTAAAGTATAATATACATATATGGCAGATATAAACTTATGAAAAGGTGATAAGTGCGTAACTGTCTACATTTTATTAGTGCATATTTTAAACGAACTTGTTGAAAAGCTTTTAGTTGATTAAGTGAGCATCAATCCGGTATTAACGACTTGCGATTCCATAGATGGTAAGGGTTGATACGGATTGTCTAATATACATTTCTGCTTACCATTAAACACCCAATCTTCTTGAAGTTGCTCCTGAACTGGATAAGGCAAGATGAGGTTAGCCTCGAAATGACTTCGCGACCACCAAAGAAAATGGTAACTGAACATACACCAACACAGCAGCAAGAGAAGCAAAAGAACTACCAGAAACAAGAACATAAGTACTTCAATGTCCATTTCTTTCCCAATTTGATCACAAGACATTCGGCCAGCAGCACGAACGTTGACTTCGCGAGCTAAGAATCAAACGGTACGTGGCAAACAAAGATGCTCCGTAAGCATGTTGAGGGAATCATAATAGTTCATATTGGCGTAATTGGTGACGCGTGCCATTGACGAGAATCTGACAGCTGAGACTATGCGGGCTATCAAGCTGATTGACAACTCCGCAAGAATAGCATCGGGCGAGTGGTGCTGTTTGAATTAACAATCTTGAAGACAATACAGTTGCTAAGCCGATGTGAGCTATACTAATTGACAGTTCTGCAAGAATGCCACATGGCAAGCGGCGCTGTTTAATTAAGCATTCTTGAAGACACAATGAAGTCTGAATAAAGTGAATTGGCGGCGCGTGCTGTTGAGACGATAAGCGCCATTAACTTACAAAGCAGTGTCTTTTTATGCTTTTGGCATGCATAATTGGTGAGCGTCAAAGATGTGCGAAAACGGCTGGAGGTGGCCATTTTTTCATGTTGTAATCGGCTGAGAAGGCAGAAAATGAATCGCAAGTTATGAAAATATCAAAAAATGTTTTAATTTGTGACGAAATATCACAAAATGTTTCAATTTGTAATACGCATTCCCATGCGTCTCAGACAGTCATTTACATGCATATTAAATGCCACATAATTAGGTTATAATGTCATAACTGCTTTTTTTTTTTAATGTTTACTTTATTCAAACAAAGAAAGGAGTATGAAGCAACTTCAAGCGACAAAAGAATACCGTCATTCCGTACAAAATATTTCCCTCCGGTTTCTTTGATAAACCAGTCCGTACAGCAGACCTATTTTCTGACGAGTGAGCCATATTTTAAATTGAGTGTAGAAACGCTTTCATGGATTGGCAAAATCGTGGAGAGCTTGGGGCAAACTAGTTTTTCATGCTCACAGCCACCTTTTTGGTAGAATTACTTACCGCTTTCGTCGATCTTGTCTACCCAATATGGCAGCGTGATCACTCGATCGAATGTTTGGCACTTTCTCGCCAAAACAACTTGCCTGTTAAAAAGTATATTTATAAACTAATTCCTATGTAGATGATTTGATTATTATCAACAATCATGCGTAAGAGAAAAAGATAAGACTTGGTTCAAGTCTTCCTCTGACAAACTTTGCCTACCATTTGTTTCTGTAATTTTTAAATCCATGGTTGCGAGATAAATCAGATATTAGATAGTCAAGAGATAATAATGGGACCATCATTTTCTCATAGATAGTCTATTACTACGAAGATAGCTTGCAACAAACCGATCAACGTTTTCAACATAACTCAATCAGAGTTTACATGATTAGCACGAAAAAATATGCACGTTGTCACTCGTAATTAATTTTTCAGCACAGCCATTACAATTTATGGCATGCAATGCTAGTTGCACCATGCAAATTCGAAAAAAAATGTAATTCAATGCTCTTCGCTTTCGTCCGTGACACTGCATAACAAGTGAATATATATTGCATTTATATGCCCTCTCGCAGAAAAATTCGTGTATCTTCATTTCTTGTTAGCGGTACAATGTGTTGAGCTTTTGGGAAGAAAGAATGTAAATCTCAAAGAGAAAACAAATAATCTGGACAGATGAAGTCATAACATTAAATGTCTTTTTGTTAACAATAATTTTTTTATTTACGTGCCGACGTGGTTTAGCATTGCTGCTAATTGGGGACACCTAAAACAAGTTGTAATTGTAAGGACTTCGTACAGAAACTTAGTGCTTTTATAGAAGTTTTACCACCTCAGTCTAAAATTCGAGATTGGAAAAAGAAGAAAACTTCTTTATAGTGCTTATCGAAGTTTCTTTTGCATTTTCCGGTTGATAGCTGTATTTAAAATTAGAAAAAAATCGACCCTAGCGCCTAGCGAGTTCTCCTTTGCTATTTCTTGGTGCATTGAAAGTACGATTTGGGGGCCAAAGAGTGTCTCCAATAAGCGCGCGGCTGACATTTCGCAAACAAAGAATGGTGAGCTTATTATTGTTGTTTTCACGCGATTGAGATGTACTCATACTCCTTGTCTTCCACATGACTATAATTCTGCCTTTCTCATTGTATGAAAATCCTACCAATTGTATTTTCCATGGTATTTTAATAACAGAAATGCATCATTAGTGATGAAGTTCAAGCCCTTTCCTGACCGATATCCTGTTACGTGAACAGTGCAAAACCTCAGGCGGATAACTGGCATAAACACATACACGTGTATTCTCCTAACCTAGGTTTCCGAAAATTCATAACGCGGAATTCAATAAGAAGCTGGAGAAAATATTTTCCAAGTCAACTCGAGCTGATTCACTAAATGTTGACTGGTCTATTCCCCTGTTAAGAATCATAACTGAGAGATTTTGTTTGTGCAGGTATATAATCAATGATTCAGGCGGACTTTTTCATAAAAATGGATAATTAAAGTTAAAAGTTCGAATAATTTAAGTAAAGAGCTGGAAGAGTCTTGCGTATTTTGCCGTTTGAAGCCTACATGGACATGAGGTTGTCTATTGTCAACTGTCAACTCGCCTACATCCATGGTGCGGCTCATCACCACTTCTCTGTTCCTCTACATTTTGACGTCATCTGTAATCCATTTCTATAACAGATTAACGATAACTGTCTCCGTTAAAATGCGATCACTTTGCTCAGTTTATTCGGCGTGCTTTAAGGCTAAAAAATTTGCATTCTTGGCGCACATCCATGCAGAGAAGGCACGAGATGAACCAGCCTCACTTAAATAAATTTTTTATTGTTTTCAAATGTATACCATATTAACGTAGTAAATAAGAAATGAAACAGACTGAGAACAGCAAAAAAATACCGTTACTTTGCAAAGAAAATTTTCTTCTTCCATGTAGGTATCTATGCAGGTTTTAATAATAAACTTACTCCTAGTAATAAACCAATTCTTATCGATAACTATGCATTACAGAACAAGGTATGTGTAAGATAAAAAGCCTATTCGCTGTTAAAATTAAACCCTCTGTAAGGTTCTGTAAATAAATGAAATACATGTTCACAGTGATTTGTTGCAAGGTATGGCACATCAGACCACTAAACGATCAAAAAGCTTTGTGAAAACATGATTCAACCAAATGTTATTTTCTGTTGGAAAAGCTTGGAAGCTTCTGGATGTTACACAACGAACTTTTTACAGCGAAGAAACTACAGTCTTTAGCGCTAAAAGCTAGTTACAAAGCGATATAAGAAACATAACATCAAAAATACTACAACAACCGACTTCAGTAAATATTGAGTTGAGTCACCCGCTTGTTAACGTGCAAGTCATTTCCATCACCTATTTACTGGTTGATGTAGTGAGCTTTACATGATAATTTTCTCTGAACAGCGAAGGGTTTTAAAATCTTGTAGAGAGGTATTCGCCTCTTTATATTACCACCAGGTGAAATGCGAAAAATATCACATCTAACCTCCTGAGATAAACGTTGTTTCAGGGGGGACTTGCTTTTGCTTGACGGCAGGACCCCTTATTTAGGTAGAAAACCTCGAGTTCGTCTGGTCTGAAATTTTTGACACCTGCCAGAATGGTTTGAGGGTCTTGAATAGTGATATTACTTGGAAGGAAGTAGTCATTACCAAAATTTGTGACTGAACTAGTGTAATCGGTGGGTTGGTTTGGATATCTATCTATTCGGATATCGTTATTCCCAAACGTTGGTCCAAGGTATATATGATTAGAAGTGGCGTTTTCTGAGTTTCTTATCATGCTTTTAAAAGCTCTAGTTTGTTGGCTGTTACTTAAAGAGAAAATGAACGCGTTGAATGTTTTGCCATACTCTTCTGGATCCTTTGGCTGACCTGAAACTGCAAAAAACGTACACATGAGTTTAAATATATTCGTAACTGTCAAACGCTGAGTAAAACCGGTCGAACACGTCAAAAAGAGGACTCTCGACCTTTGGTTAGGCATGTCCTTGTTAAAGTGCAAAATAATCTCAATTTCGTCATCCTCAACGACCCAAGCAAGCAGTGCGCACGGAGAGTTCAGTGAGTTCAATTTGAGGATTGGGTACTGGGAAAACTTTGATTGCACCATGTTAAAAAGCAATAAAGCCGAGGTATTAATTTTTTGCAATTATACCGCAAATGTTTGTTCTAGTAACTTTAAAGAAGTTCCCAGAATTCACTAGGTATGTAGGCAGGCTACAAGCAGTTTTTCACGGGATGAGAGCGGGAAATCTCGAGGCGGTAAGATGGGCCCATTTTGCGTTCTCGTGTAATCATTATAGACCCAGGGTTGACTTCTTCTGGGATAATTAATAGTATTTGAACTTCCAAGTCTCGTCAAGAGTTTTATTCCACCATTGAGTCTGGAATTCTAGCGAAAAGGGTAGTTTGTCAGTTGTTATAAAATAACCAAGATATTACTACGAGCGTCCTGATTGGTCAAAAACCTATCCTTAATTGCACCGTTAAACCTCTTGGAAATTGAAATTAATTCTATAAAACAAAATACCGCACTATTTTTCGGTTTACCGGTAATAACGCGGAATATTGGGAGAACACAGCTCGTAGTTTACAAACTTTTCTTTTGTTCTTCCAACACCCCGCGTGGGTTAGTATACCGGCCGGTGAACAGATAGAAAGTGCAGTCTATTAGGTCAATGGCTTACACCAAGGAATGTCGATATATCCACCAAATACGTAGTCATTCACTCTTATGATTGTGATAGTGTCATTTTTTCCATCGCACTTCTTGTGAAAAGTAGCATCTGCGATATTCCTAGGGGAAGTGCGAAAGCACAACGACCAGTGAGAAACGTTTCCAACAGCTGGAACCAGGAATCCATACAGATGACTGCGGTAATATTTATTGCCTGATAATATTGTTGACTCGATGGAGAACTCTGTAAAAAAAATTATTGTCAGTGGATTTGAGAGCCGATTATTAAGTAAAAGGGTCCTTTAGCTTGTTTCGTAACGGGCGTTCTCTTTTTGTACAGTTGCATCGCTGCTGACTGATCA